TCCATCCGCAAACACACAGCAGCACAGGCCAGCTGTGCAGAAACACACACACACACATTCTCTACTGCAGAACCCGAGCGCTGCTGAACACGCAAACACTCCGCCGTTACGCAGGCAATGACAACAACACTCTCAGTCCCACAACGCAACATTAAAGCCGTCTTTGTTCTGCTGTTCGCGCTGCGTTTGATTAAATGTAGCATTCAGAATCGCAGAGTTCTGAGAGAGACATAAATCAAGCTCTCACAGCTGCAGGAGAACACATGCAGCGCCATAAAGAGCTGCGCTCGCACCGCTGGGAGAGAGAGTGTGTGTGGGAGAGAGTGAGAGTGTGTGTAGAGACACCTGCAGACACACACACACACTCTCATAAACCAGCCCGCACTAATCCACACGCCACCGCAGCCAGATGCACAGAGCCCTGCGCGGCACTGCTGTACCGTACTGTAAAAACACCACCGCCGTGACCAGACCAGCGGACACACCGAGATCAAGATGTCCATCTCAACACCTCCGCTAGTGCCAGCTCCACACACACACACACACACACACACACACACACACACGAATGAACACCTGGAGGAACATGATGACGTCCAGCTCTGACTGAACCCCTAATCATCCGTCCATCGCACATAACGAAAGTCTAGAGCAGGAGCGAACAGCGAGGGGTTAACGCTGAGCGGAGAGTCACCGAGTGTCCATAAAGAGGCTCTTCAAAGCCGCCATCCTTTTGTGATAAATCCAGCGCCTTTAATTGCCTTTAATTTATTAGTGTGTTCCAACCTCAGGCTCATTAAACAGAAACATATTGGTCTGCGCTTACGGGAGTTTAACAAGTACAGAACTCCCATTTTCTAAGTAAATTGGAATTTCTTTTTAATTCGCTGGTAAACAATCGAATGGAAAGCAGATGTAGCGAAGCCGAGGCCCATCCTCATGCGACGGCGAGCGCCAGAGATGCAGATGGGCCTGGGAATTATTTAAATGTCATTTCAAGGTAATTAAACGTTACAGTTTGAGGAACGCTTTGAGGTCGGAGCGCTCAGGAAAGGAGTAGAGGAGATAAAGACGCTAGAAAAGAGCGAGAGCGGGAGCCTTTCCAAGCACATCTGCGTCTGCGTGACCGCGGCTCCACAGTTCAGCGCGAGATGCTGAGAAAGATTATTATGGAATTCATAAAATACATGTCGAACTTTCAGAAATATTACTGGGCAGATTAAAGGCGACCGCCGCTACAGAACGTTATAAAGCATCTCGTGAAGTTTAGGAGTGAAAAACACTGAACTGAACTCTGAGGGAGAGCGCAGCAGCGGGAGCTCCATCACCGGCTCCATGACCCCACGGCTAAACAGCGACTGAGACCGCAGACGCACTGCTTTGACCGTCACACACACACACACACACACACACACACACACACACACACACACACACACTGTAGGACACAAATGACAGCACACAATGATCAAAATCACACACACACACTTAAAGCCTGCCTCAAAAACACACACATCTGCAGAGAGAGTCTAGTTTAGGTGTGAACTGCTCCAATGTTCAACCGCTCCTTCATTCAATTATTGTTCAATCAACATCGTTCAACTTCGATAGTTTCATCATTCAATCATTCCTTGTTCAATCACTTTCATCCAATTAGCTGTTTAATTGTTCAATTATTCGATTGTTAAATTGTACTGTTGTTAAATCATTTCAGCAGTTAATCGTAAAATTTTCTAATCTTTTAATCCTTCGTTCCATCTTTCAATCACTCATTCAATCCTGTTCAATCCTTAAAGCAGTTACTCATTTAATTCTTCCATCATTTAATCATTCAACTGTTAAATTGTTAAATCATATAATTCAATAGTTTTGTTGTTGAACAAAAACATATTTCAATCCTTCCGTTGTTCAATTGTTTCTGTATTCAATCATTCCATTTTTCAATCATTCAATCGTCAAATTGTTTCAGGGTTTCAATTGTTTCAATCGAACGACTTAATCATTCAATTGTTTATTTGTTCAATTGTTAAAGCAACTATTTATTCAATCCTTCCATTATTTAATCATTCAACTATTTATTTGTTAAATCATTTAATTGTTCCTTTGTTTAACCGTTCAATCATTCAATCCGTCATTCATTTGTTCAATCCGTCCAGCATTCAACTATTCAGCTGTTCACTCATTCAGCTGATCAATTATACAATAGTTCCAACACTATCATCAGCCATTTAATCATCCATACAATCATTGCATTGTTCAATCATTCAGTTGTCGACAAACTGTTTCAGGGTTTCAACTGTTTCAATTAAACGATTTAATCATTCATTCCATCATTCAATTGTTTATTTGTTCAATGCTACCAGCATTTATTTGTTCAATCATTTTCATTCAATTAGCTGTTTAATTGTTCAATCATACAGTTGTTCAATTATTCAATAGTTTTATTTTTCAATCGTTCAGTTTCAGCAGTCAATCGTTCAATTTTTCAATCATTTAATCTTTCATTCTATCCTTTAATTGCTTATTTGTTCAATCCCTAAAGCAATTATTCATTCAGTCATTCATTTAATCCCTCCATCATTTATTTATTCAACTGTTTAATTAGTAAATTGTTTAATTGTTCCTTTGTTCAATCATTCAATCCGTCATTTCATCATTCATTTGTTCAATCCTTCCAGCATTCAACTGTTCAACTGTAGAAATGTTCAATCAGTCAATTGTTTAATTGTCCAATCATTCAGTCGTTCAATTACATATATAGAGTCTACCCTGTATCACTGAATTGATCAATTGTTCTCCAATTCAACAATTCAATCATCCATACAATCATTCCATTGTTCAATCATTCAATCATCTAATTGTTTCAGGGTTTCAATCGAACGACTTAATCATTCATTCCATATTCAACTGTTTATCTGTTCAATGCTTCCAGAATTTCATTGTTCAATCATTCATTTAATTGTTCCGTCATTCAACTGTATAAATGTTCAATCAGTCGATTGTTTAATTGTTCAACTATACCCTAGATATAACACTGTTCTGTTGATTCCATCATTTAATAGTAGCCTTGTTCAACTATTCAACAGTTAAATCCTCCAATCATGTGTTCATGTCAGCAGGATGAGACTGAGCTAAGAGTGCTGATTTCAGCTGATCTAACGCTCTCAGACGTGCCCTGGCTAAAGGCTGGATTACACATCCCTCCGCATAGCTGCTCACTCTTTCTCCTGTGTAGTGTTTGTGTTGCTCTGCAGTAACTCTCCTGAAACGCCAGCTGGCAGCGGAGCTCCTCTGTTTCTGTGTCGAGTTTACTCTCAGGTGTTTTGTTTACACTGGAAACACCTGTAATGCTAACTACTGTAGGAGTAGCTCAAACTCATCCAGAGTCGGCAACTGGCGGATGTGCACCTTTAATCATGAGGTAAACAGGAACAGCAGTCTCCGTCTGGAGCTCCTCAGCGGGACTCCACGCTCGTTAAACACCCCCTCCAATGGGCTCACTCCGCCCACACCGCTCTCTGCCCCGCCTACACGCGTCAATGCTACCAAACTGACCAATCACAGAGCTTGCACAGAACACCGTTGTTTCTTTAGAGGTGTGTGTCAGGATCAGGGTGAGCTGTGGCGAAGGGTCTGCACTGCACCATCCACATTCACTCAGCACAGCAGAAGAAGTCAGCCTTAATGAGAGATTCCTGAACACAGCACCAGATAAAGCCTCCGCCACACACACACACACACACGCACACACACACACACACACACACACACACACACACACGTGTAAACAAGTAAGAGGAGAGTCTGACTGCACGCCGTGACGGATGCTGAGGAGGCATTCTGGGAATCTCCTCCACCTCCCTAATGACTCGTCTGTCTCCGTCTCCGCTCAGACTGAAATAACTGAGAAGTGTTTCATTATTACGGCCGTCTGTCCTCCTGAAACAACCGAACAGCACACACCACTGCAGGCTCATATTTAACACACACTGATGCATTCTGGGACAGTCCGACACGGCTGAGCCTCCATCAGCAGCAGCAGCAGATCAGGCTGTATCATACGGAGATCATCTCTCCATCATGAAACACACTGAACTGTAGAGAGTCGGCACAGAGCGGAGCGGAGGAGTGTCAGGATTCACACGCCACAGTCAGCAGCAATGAAGACTAGCGGCAAACACAATCTGCAGACCAGCGTTCAGAAGCAGCGCTTTAACTGTGTGTGTGTGTGGACGTGAGTGAGTGTGTGTGTGTGCGCGCGTGAGTGTGTGTGATCCCCTACTCTCGCTGCAGATGAACATGACTCAGTGTGTTAGTAGTGCGCTGCTGTTGAGTAACACTGATGCGCTGCCAGTGGACGGGTCTGGATCCTCTCTCGGCTCGGTCTCCTACAAACACCTCCCTGAGGCTTTCCTGCAGCTCAAGGAGACGGAGGAGACGAGCTCAAGCTTTCAGCAGAAAATGAGTTCAGAGCTGAAAGTAAACAACCGCCGTGTTTCCACTGTTACAGCTAAAGCGAGTGAGCCAGGGCCGGTCGCGTTCCCACTGTCACTTCCGGGGCCTGATCGGGTCAAAGCGGGGCAGTGTATAGGCTGGGCTCCTCATGTGTCCTCTATAACTGTGAGGCTGCTGCTGTTATAATGCAGCAGTTTGCTGTAATCAGTGTGTTTCTCTGCTGCTGTTTCACTAACACAGAATAATCTCTACACACATTAAACACACAGCAGCAGTGCCGGCTGAACACATTAGTCCAGTTCACATGCTGTGTTTGTGCATGAAACGTGCGCGTTTATATCATACCTGCCAACACTCCTGTTTGTCCCGAGAGTCTCCCGTATCTCAGACCGTATTTCGTATTTCCAACCCCCTCCCCCCGCCACTCAGCTTTTTGGTACAGTCCAGCCTGAAACCCGGTGCATGTTTGTGCAGCAAACCCACACCTCTTCCCCAAAACTGTGTGTGTCTCTTACCGGGGTTGGGTGTGTGTGTGTGTCTCTTACCGGGGTTGGGTGTGTGTTCCTGCTGCGGCAGCTGCACAGTGAGCTGCAGGAGGTCGGGGGACAGCAGAGACGCAGGCTTACGGCTCCCGCTCAACCAGCGGCTGCTGTGCAGATCTGTGGTGTCTGACGGACCCTGGAGCAGCGGCACCAGCTGATCCTTCTGCCCTTCACACACACCTACACACACACACACACACACACACAGACACACAGAGACACACACACAGAGACACACACACACACAGAGACACACACACACACACAGACACACACACACACACACACACACAGAGACACACACACACACACACACACACACACACACACACAGAGACACACACACACACACACACACACAGAGAGACACACACACACACAGACACACAAACACACACACACACACACACACACACACACACACAGAGATATCCACACAAACACACACACACACACACACACACACACACACACACAC